AAGAGTCACACACAATAAATCACATGTACAGAGAGAGGGCTTTTTACTTCCTGCTTTCTACCACAGCTTCCTGCATCCTCCAGAAACCTGCTCTGAAAGGTCAAGAATCTTCCATTGAAAAATAAGCAACTCCAATATCCCTTGCGAACATAGAAGCCAATTCCCAGTTCCCTTGGCCCCTCTACCATAAAATATTTGAGGCAGCTACTCCCCACCAAAGTTGATAGGCATTGCCATTCAAATGGTGTACCTCCCCCCCCCAATATTTTAAGTTGGCCACCCCTGCTTGCAAAGCACTTTGTCCACCCTTAATCAGCTAGGACTCTCTACTCCAAATGTATTTGTTCCACTGCCTATGACCCTGTATCCCCCCTCATTCTCCTTTGTGCCCCATACCAAATAAATATTGGGAGGGGAGGGAAGGGGGGAAGCCAAGGTCTTTTCAACCTGAAATGCATTTTATATTGCTAATGTACCACACTTACCTTTGCCTGTTGATTGTTCCCTACAAACCCACCACCTCCATGCACTTTAGTTTTAATTGTATTTTAATTATGTTGTTTCCCCCCCATGTTTTTACCAGTCCTTGTTTTTATCTGTAATCTGCCTTGAGTCCACCCCGTATGCAGGCTCTGTAACTGGAAAGGAGCTAGAGGAGAAATGATGAATTTAGGAGGAATGTCCCCCACTCTGTGTCTCTGCAGCCTTGTTATTTCTGCAAATAAGAAGTTGCGGCTATGCATTTGCTCATATAATTTGTTTTTTACTCTCTCTTCTCTAAATGCTCAGAATTGCTTTATATACTTTTCTTAGTCCTATTGCAATACATTATGCCAGTAGTGGGCAACCTTCTTAGGGTTGAGGGTCACATTCTCCCAGAAGCATGTGTGTGTAAAATAAATACATGAATACAAAAGTGAATGAAAGGAGGGGAGAGAAAGAGAAAGGGAATGGGCTTTCTTGCCCACATTTGGCATTGGCTCCATCTGGCAGGTGTGTCCAATACCAAAACTAGGCAGGGAAGCATATTTTTCTCTCTGTCCTCCCTCCATTCATTCTCTTCTCTATTCATATATTCTCTCTCACACACACTTACTGTGGCACTTACTATAACAACTTCATAGTGAGTACCGGCACCTCACCACCCCCGCCCCAAATACAAAAATTGTGACATACACAATTAATTGAACACCATTTGCATGCACTTGGGTTTGAAGTCAATAATGCTAGTCTGTTGACTCTTTCAGCAAATTCAGACATAGACTTCCTCTGAACATGGATGGAGGAAGGATTGCTATAGGGAACTCAAAGTTTCAGAGGCAGTCTACCTGAGTAAGCTGAAGTTGTGGAGGCTGGCAACAGGAAAGGCTTTGGGTCTCAAGCCCTACTTTGACTAATCACTTTTAAAAGTGTGCCAACCAATGGCCAACATCTCACGATAACAGTCATAGAGAACTTGGAACTGATTTGTCTTGCTCTGTAAACAGTGCAACCCTATGTCTACTCAGAAGTAAGTCCCATTAGATTTGGGACAAGCAATACCTAACTGGTTGATTCTTTTCTTTTTCTTTATGTAATATAACACCTTTTATTCTTGGTATTCCTTGTGCCTCTGATGGTTTCAATCACAGGTTTATGTTTCTGTATATCTTGCAAGTCATGTGCACCACACTTCTTGTTCTCTTATTTCTTCTGATGGTACTCTCTGTTTACCTCTCTGTATCACACTGCAAATATATGGATAACCAGATTTAATATTTTTTATTGTGAACATTCCATGCCCACCTTGGTATGGTTTGGTTTAATTTTTATGTGTTTGTTTCATGAAGTTTTATTTTGTTATTTGGGTTATATGGATAGTTTTTTTTTAAATGCTTTCTGAAAAGGAATAAAAAGACGAAGCAAGTTCCAGTAAGTTAATTGGGACTTACTCCCAGGTATGTGGGTATAGCCTTAATTTCCTCCATATAGTTCAGAAGAGATTAAAAAGCGACTTTGCCTTCACTTTCTGTTCCCATTTGAGAGTAGCCATATGGGTGGTAGGACTGTAACAGATGTGGAAATCAAGTGTCTCTCAGATGGAAACATGAATATAGACAAACTATTGTAATTGGAACTCTGTTCTTTCCCTTCCATTTGTCCACAGTGACAGTGATTTAAAAAGCAGGGAGTTAATAAGATACCCATTGTCTCACTGTCATGGAAGATAGGGTTTACTCGCTTGCCTTAAAAAACTTGAAACACAAGAGATGTATGTTGAAATTGGGGAGACTAACTTCTCTCTTCTTCACCCTCCATCTCATTATCATTATTCACACACATATACATGTATTTTGACATAAGTGGGTAGTATTCAATGCTAGACCTACTCAAGAGTAAACCCATTGAAGTTAATAGACATGACTAACTTAGGTTTATTACTTTCAATGGGTAGGACTTAGTATAATACAACCCAGAGTGTTTAGGATTACTACCCATCCTAGCCACAAAGGATTTCCCACACATTTCAGTCTCCAGAATGCTCACTTCTCTCCTCACCATGGGAAAAATAGTTTCTTAAGAGTCCTTTTCCCCCTTATAACCCACCTTAGCAAAGAAGAAAAGATGTGCTGCTAGGTCCTCCTCTACAAAGAAAACTTACACAGGCTGCTGAAAGCTAGCGAAGGAGGGAAAATGCAGACTAGAAAGACCAAACTGATAAATTTAGAATGCATAGTTCTGATTGGCTTAGCATGCCCCCGCTTATTTTTTGTGGCTTGGGGTTTGGTTGGCCAGAGAGAGACAGAAAAGCATGAGGACCTTGAAGAACGGAAAACAAAGGCTTTCCTGTTGGTTAAATTATTTGTTTTTAACAATTTTTGTTGCTGTGCAGGGGGACGGACAGCTTCCTCTATGGGCCTTGGCCTCTTTATATTTCAGCCAACATATCCTTCAGTCAATCTTATCAGAGCAGCATAGAATTCTCCCCCTCATCAGACTAGTTTCCTAATCCAACAAGTGACCAATATTTTCTGCCCAATAAGTCAATCAGAAGTGTAATTTTACAAAAGTCTCTCTCAGTACAGTATTTTAAAAGAACTCAGTTTCTCCCAGACCAGACTTGTGTAACTAAATAGCAGGTGTTAGCCACCAGGATACCTAGTGTTACACATTTAACATGACACCCCTATGCACATGCATATCTTAACCAAACCCTATTTTTAAAAGTGATTTCTCCCCAGTAACTCTGCTTACAAAACAAACAACAGCCCTTTTATTGCTTTTAATGGGTGTGGTATATTTTTATGGTATTCTGTAAATGATCCTTCTTGAACCTACATTTCTAAATAATTGGCATTAATACGGCAAGACAAAAATAGCAAAAACCAGGATATTGATATATCAGTAAACACCTGACTTTGTATTGTGCTTTTGGCTGTGTTTGTACATGGTGATATATTGCCTACATTGTCCTTGTGGGACTGTTTTAGTTATGTAATATCTCTTTAAAAAACTGACAAAGTTTTCTGGTAATATAAGACCTTAACAGATTTATTTTGGCACAAGTGGGGGCTGCAACAAAATGTTGTAGTGTGGAGTGCTCTTATTCAGGTTTCTAGCCCTGGCCTCAACAGTCAACCAGCATTCGTTACCTACTAAACACAACCAGTCTATACTGGGCATTTCCCCGCACCAACCAATTTTTTGGTACTTCTGCAAATGTTGGGATTCCCCCCATGCCTACCGCTTCTTCTTTATTGTGCATTACTTATACCATTTGTGCTACATAAGCCTGATTCAGTTCTGTTTCGGTTTTCCTAGCACTCAAACACAGATACGTTTTCTCTCATTTTGTGTTAATTTTTGTTTTTAAGCCTGCATTTGCATTTGTATGAATTTCATACTCCCTTTTTACATAAAATACATTTTCAATGCTTCTCAATGCATTTTTCAGGAGAAAAAAAATCTGTATTTTTTGCACACTGAAGCACTGCAAAATCTGGAAGTGTGACTGGCCGGGAGTTGCGCTGTGATCTGCAAGAACATTAAACTGGCAACAGCATCTGTTTCCTGTGAAAAACAGACCAAATTCCTCCTGTGTCACAAGCTTATTAGAAAAGGAGAAAGTGATTGTGATTGTGTGTGTGTGTGTGACAAAAGGGAGTAGTCCACAAAAGCTTATACAGTAAATCTGTTATAAGGTGTTTGTGGTACACTAAAGTATATGCTTGAAGGGGGGAATATAAACCCTGCTGTTCCCCCTCTGGATTTTACTTTTAAAGATTGTTCCTCAAGAGACCTATCTCCATTTGTGCTATGTGGCTCAGTATGTAATCAATGCCCAGTACAAACATATTTTCCTCTTTTTCTTCTTGGACCTGTGTTCCCATATGTAAGCAATTGAACTCTGGGAAAAATGCTTGCCCCTTTGTCCTGTACCTTGGCAGAACCTTTGTTTCCCTGTCGCCCTGCCAGCAAAGTGTGTCGCTGACTTTGGGGAGGCGACTGACGTCACAGACACACACCTTGCCTTGTGTGTGTGTTATGGTTCCAGTCTCTGGGGCCGCTCTTTTCATACTTTATGTTTTATATACAGTATAGAAGTGTATGTGTTTTCATATATATCTCTATATGAACTCTGTCGCAAAGCTCACGGGGACGTTGCCTTCTCACTTTCCCCGCCCCCCCTCCCCGCCCGCCAAATTGCGCCTGCTGAGGGAGGAAAGCAGCTCCATTCGCTGCCGCCGCCTTCCACCAACCGCCTTCCATGGGTGGTCGTTAACTGTTGACTTATGGCTCGGCACGCGCGCAAGCGCGCCAAGAGGCACGTTCTCTCCCGAACGTCGCTGCAAGGCTGGAGTCAGTTTCCTCATCCACTGGCACGCTGTGCTTTTCTCCTTCTCTCCCGCCTCACCCTCCCAGCCATCCGCTGCGGCCCACGGAGAGGGCGGAGCTTCCCCGCCTTCTAGCCAGTGAGAACCTCGGGTTTAGGGGGACGGAGAAGGTGGCGGCAAGGGAGCACGCCCCTTTGCCAGCCACGCCCCTTGGTGGGGCGCGCGCGGGGTGGGGGTGGGGAGTTACCCCTTTAAAATAACCTGAAGGCGCCTTGAGCGAATTTACCACCCTCAGGGGCCGGTTTGTGAGGGAGAATTTTATACGGGGGAATTATATAGATCTATTTGTATAGACTATATATACAAAGCGCTGAGTTTCTTTTCCTGTCGAGAAGTTTGATACCCCCCCTCACCCGCTCATTCCCGTTCCTGTTTCGAGAGAGATGACCGCGTTGCCTCGGCGGAGCTAAGGAGCAAGCGAGAGGCGGCGGCTGGGCTCCTGAGAGGCAGAGCGAGCGAGGGGGCGAGCAGCCGCGTGAGGCCGCCTTAGCCGCCCTTCCTTCCCTCCGCGTAGCTCCCGCCGGCGGGCTGCGATGTCTCCCGTCAGCGAGGAGGTGGGAGCAGGGGACGGCTGCCCCCCGGCTGCCCCCGTGGCCCCCTTGGAGGGGGGCGAGGCGCTGGGCGACGAGCCGAAGCAGGAGAACGGCGGCGAGTGGTGCTCGCACCAGACGCTGCTCTCCTCGCTGGAGGCAGCCGCCGGGGAGCCGCCCCCGGTGACGGCGTTCGCGGCGGCCGGGAGCCCCCCGGAGAAGAAGCTGCAGAAGCCGCCCACGCCGCCGCCGAAGGGAGGCGAGGCGCCGTTCGAGCCCCCCGAGGGCGGCTGGGGGTGGGTGGTCATGCTGGCCTCCATGTGGTGCAACGGCGCCGTGTTCGGCATCCAGAACTCGTGCGGGGTCCTCTTCAAAGCCATGCTCAAGGAGTTCGGAGACCCCAACGACCCGCAGCTGACGTTCAAGACAGGTGAGTGAGTGCGGGGGGGCGGGGAGGAAGGCGGGAGGTGCGGGAATGGAGACCCCCCCCACAACCGCCTCTGAATCGGGGCTCCTGCTTTTGCGTTCAGAGAGATAGGGAGGTGATAGGGAGAGAGAGAGACTGGGCTGGAGCACTTCTGGGCGAAGGTGGCTTGCTTTTAGATTTAAAATCACCCATTCGTTTTTGGTGCACAGGACAAAACCTCCGAGTTGGTGGGCGGACTGGGTGAAGGAGGAGCAGGCGCTAAGATTTTGCAGTTGCTGCTGTGTATGTGCAGAATCTGCCCCCTTTATTTGGGGGAAAGTTTCTGCCCTGCTTCCCATTGTTCTGGGACTGTGTGTGACGTCCTTAAAAAAAAAAAACCATAAGAAGGGCCCTGCTGAATCAAACCAGTGGCCCACCTAGTCCAGCATCCTGATCTCACAGTGGCCATCCAGATGCCTGCGGGAAACCTGCAAGCAACTGGTGTCCAGAAGCATTTCTACCTCTGATCATGGAAGCAAAGCATTGCCATCACGGTTAGTAGCCATTAAAGAGCCATATTCTCCATGAATATGTCCTCTTTTAAAGCCATCCTGTGGGAGCAGAGTTCCATAGTTTTAACTATGCACTGCATGAAGTACTTTCTTTTATTTGTCCTGAATTTCCCAGCAGCAGCTTCATTGATGCCCATGAGTTCTAGTGTTATGAGAGGGAGAAAAACTTTCACTCTCTCCATGCCATGTATACTTTTACAAACATCTATTACTTGTTTTTTCTCTAAACTAAGAAGTTCCAAAGATTGCAACCTTTCCTCATATGGGTGTTGCTTTATTCCCTTTTAAGTGTCATGTTGATCACACTTTTCTGAACCTTTTCCAATTCTACAATATCCTTTTTGAGGTGAGGCAACCAGAACTGTACACAGTATTCCAAATGCAGTTGCACAATAGATTTGTACAATGGTGTTATAATATTAGGAGTTTTATTTTCAATTCCTTTCCTAATAATCTCTAGCATGGAATCTGCCTTTTTCACAGCTACTGCACAGTAGTTTTTCATTTTCATCAAGCTATCTACTACAAACATGAGGTCTTATTCCTGGTCAGTCACTGCCAGTTCAGACCCCATCCACATATGTGAAATTAATATTTTTTGGCCAGCATTCATATCTTTACACTTTTTAATGTTGAATTCTATTTCATATTTCACCACTCATTCACTTAATTTGTAGAAGCCTTTTGGAGCTCTTCTCAATCTTTTTCTTTTAATGATCTTGAACAATGCAGTCCTGATAGGATTTCTGCTTTTGGGTGTGTATTTTACTTCTGTATCTCCTTCACCCTCTCTTTCTGTCTAGCTTGTGCAAGAGTTTGTAGACTCTGTTTTCTAAAAGAAAGAAAATTAAACAGAATTGGTTTTAAAGGTTTGGCTAAGGATTTGTACCCAGCAGGACAACAATACTCATAGAATAATAGAAATATAAAGTTGGAAGGGATCCTGCGGGTCATCTAGTCCAATCCCCCGCAAAGCATACATGACAGATGGCCATCCAACCTCTGCTTAAAATCCCCATATAATGAGAGTCCAAGAGTCCACTGTCCAAGAGGTCTTACTGTCAGAAAGGTCTTCCTGATGTTTTGTTGGAATCTTCTTTCTTGTAACTTGAATCCATTGATTCAGATCCTACCCTCCGGAGCAGGAGAAAACAAGCTTACTCCATGTTCCATCCCTTTAGATATTTGAAGATGGCTATCATGTTTCTTTTCAGTCTCCTCTTATTCAGGCTTTTCCATTGGGCTGTCTAAAATAATTATTTTCTCACCTTTGCAGTAACTCTGAATGCAGGTTTCTGCTAATCTGTTTCACAGATGTGCGAGCTGAGACTGAAAAGGAAATTTTACAAGACTAGCCACTGAGTTTGTAGCAGAAATTGGTTTCTGTGGTCCACTTTAAAATATAAATGAATTTTTCTGATTTATTGTGATAATGCTACTTATGTGCAAAACACTTTTAACAGATTTTGTGTTGTTTAACTTAAATAAATGTGAATCAGAAATGTCCATGTAAACTGCTAACTTATCCAAAACTTGCAACTATTTGAACAGCTGTTTTGAACTAGTGTCAATCTTCAAGAAATCTTGGCAATATAAAATCCGTCTGAACACATGCAGTCTTTCAAATTTGCCCCCTATTGTAATCAGCAGTGTGTTTCTTTTGGATAATAACTGAAAAAGAATAGTCAGCTAGAAGAAATCTTGTTTAAATTAATAGTGGCTTTGGGAGGTGCTTCTCTGTTGTATCAAAACAAATTTTAGCAACTGTAGACTGTTTCCTGCTGAGCACCAAGACTTTCAGGAAGCTCCTGGTATGTAGAAGGGAAATTATTCTAGTAGACAAAGTTTCTGTTCATCTGGCTTAACCTTTGAATTAACTATGTAACAACTACATCTGGAACCCAATCTGAAGCAGAGGTTTACTTTAGTAAATATGTACAGTGGTACCTCGGGTTAAGTACTTAATTCATTCCGGGGGTCCGTACTTAACCTGAAACTTAACCTGTTCTTAACCTGAAGCGCCACTTTAGCTAATGGGGCCTCCTGCTGCTGCTGCGCCACCGGAGCACAATATCTGTTCTCATCCTGAAGCAAAGTTCTTAACCTGAAGCATTATTTCTGGGTTAGCGGAGTCTGTAACCTGAAGCGTATTTAACCCGAAGCGTATGTAACCCGAGGTACCACTGTATAGGATTTCAACCCACACTCCGTTCATCTCAACTCTGCCTTAAACTGAATAAAAGATTGAAATATCTTCTGTTTAAAGTTTAGCTCTTATGAATTGCATCCAGTAGTGACTTTTCCTTAGCATAAAGCACTTCTGTTCAAACAAAATAGAACACCCAATATTTTAATCTTCTCTTACCTACTGCAGCCCTCTGAACCACATCCCATGATGTTCCAGAAAGTACCCAGCCATTGGGTGCAACGTTTTGGAGGAACATAATAAGTAGCTAGAAGGGTGAATAAAAAGCACATATAACCCAGCTTGTGCAAGCAAAAATGCTTTCCACTACACTAGCTCCCATTTTGGATATAACCCCATATATTTTTCCTACAGCTTTGATAAATGCTTTGATAGTTGGATAAGCTGCCAGGGGAGAATAGAAGGAAGACATTTTGTTTCAATCCCTGGTAATTAATTTGTCTATTCTAACGATCTCTGAGAGAAACAACTACTTCCAGCTGGAAAGAAAATAAGTACATGTATCTCTTAATCCAATTAGCATGTCTTCCTGTTATAATTAATTATCATGACTGCAAGCATCTGGTTGAAACTGAGCATGAACTTCACAAAAGGTGAAGGCAACCTAATCCCCATTATTTTTGCTCACTGAAGAGGATAAGTGAATTAATAAGCAGTAATCTTTGGATAATTGCTCTGACTTGGGCTGGAGGTGTGTTTCATTCTTATGAAAGTTCTAAAAGTTTACAGAATTGTCAAAAATTGCCAAGTATTCAGAAAAGTCTAATTATTAGAGTGCTATGTGCCTCCCATGCTTGTTTTGAAAAAATAATAATATGGCTATTGAGCCACTCTGGGTTCCAGAGCACTGCATGCGTGCACATGGGAATGGCCAGTGGTGGCACTTGCACCACTCAAAGGTTGGACTCCTGTAGACTAGCACTCAGTGATGCATGAAAGGCTGCTGCATGTAGGGAGACTTGGCCGGTTTCTGTGCATGCACAGGCCTTTCTGGATCTCGGATCATATTTTAGAACCTCCATTTTAAAGCTTTCTAGTGGGGGATGTAAGAAAAATATATTGCTATCAGATGTGTAGCTTGAAAATAATAAAATCGTTGCTTATAGAAGATAAAATTTACAACATTGGTACAGCACTATGTTAGATTGCTAGGCAAGACACTAGATGTTCGCATTAAACCAAACATTTTATTCCTGGACTTGTGGTGCTCCTGTCATTTTGAGAGCAGCACATATTTCAGCTGAGCTATTGTCAGGATATACTGATCCTGCCATAGCACTGATGGAGTGACTATAGACTTTATGAAACAAGAACAGAAGAGATTAGTCTCTTGGTAGAAGATCTAGACCTGCTAGTGGCTTGTCAATATACCTTCCTCACCTAGTGTCACACAGAGAACTGGTAGCTTCTACCATTGCAAAGCAAGTGTGGGATGGACTTTTGTCAGGACATCTAAAGTATTCACTTGAGGCTTCTAGTGTGCACATCTCCATCATTCTGTACTGAAGTCCTGAGGCTTCTTTCTGGAAACAAAATACTGACTGCTTGACCTGAAAGGTCTTTACATTCCCTTGATTTATCTTCTCTGCTTTACCTTGCCTTTTCTCTGTAAAGAGCATATAAAAAACTTGCTACCAGAACATATGGCATAGTTGAGTATCTGCAGCTGTTGGGAATCAGTGGGCTTTTGAAGAGCCCATAGGTATTGCATTGTTTCTAGAGTGTGCAAAGTCAATGTATATACAGAGGGGTAACTCTTTGTTGCTGCAAAACAGTAGGCTTATGATACATTTAAAGATAGGAAGTTGTAGATCTAGCTAAGGCATACACAGAATTAGACCCACTGAAATCTATTAAGTCTATTAACTTAAATTGTAGAGCAGGAATGGCTGACATTTTTCAGCCTGGAGGTCACATTGACTATGAGCCCTTCTGGAATGTAAAAGGTGGTGTTTTGAGTGGGTAGAGGGATTGTATCACCCACTTTCCTAACTTAGTACAGCAGTGTGAAGATTAGGAGAGAAAGCTCAGGACTGGCAAACCACATTTCTGGCTTGCAGGGCTGGATCTGGACCACAGATTAGCCTTCCATGTGGTAGAATAAGCTTTTGTGAAATTTATACATCTGATGAAGTTGAATCTAGTCCACAAAAGCTCCATAATTAGGATTGTGGCTGCATTTCATTTAATCAGGGGATACATTAGTGAAGCTACAACAAATCTCAGACACATTCTGCCCACAAGCT